ACTTGCGCTTTTAATTTTATTTCAATCTTACGTTTGTATAGATCTTTGTTATTACTATCATGACCACGACGGCATGAACACAAACAAGCTAGCAGAGTGCATGCGTATTCTATATTTATTTTTACCGGGCCAACATTATAGAATTAGAAAGTTAAATCCTTAAACGAAATACTCCCAAGCAATTACCTCAAGCCATTATATCACTTGGAACATTAGCGTAATACACACACCACATCTGCCGTGACTTCAGGTTTGAGCCATATTCACCCTTGCAGTCATTCAAGGCGACAATTTTACAACACCGGCAAAACCATCACAGTCAACGCTTACAGAGCAAACATCGCTCTTATTAGTACAGCTTTAAAGATACAGTTCGTGTAGATTGTAAGTATTGATTAAATCTTGAATGTTCGTCAAAAAAAATGTTCAAGATGACTTCTCTAACAGCCCTACAAATCAAGTTGGATCCGTCCTTCCCCACGCGGTGCTTTGCAGTAATTGTAATTTCTCTATTTTCAGAGTTAATCTTTTTCTTAAGCTGAGTAAAAACAGCTTTAAATAAACATCAAAAGTAATGTACATTCTCTAAAGGAGTTACAAATAATAAGAAAAAAACTTGTCACATGAATTTGTCCGGTTTTACCCGGACATGTTTGGTTTGTCGATCATGTCCGGTCTTTGACTTTTATGGCTATGTATTGATAGACCTTGGGTCCGTTCTCTATGTGTTGCGCTGCTCGCCTACATGGCGAGTTTGAAACATAATAATATCGACTTTTTATGTCCAGTCTTATTCAGTATTTTAGAAGATGGCAATAGATGTAAGTATGTATATACTGGCAACTTATTCTGTCAAAATAAATTGACAACTCACGCACAAAAAAGGACAAACGTAGCGTTGAAAAGGCTATGGGAATGTCTTAGTATTGGGCACTGATTTATTTTCTGGTTTTAGGTACCTAGGTGAAGTGCAGTTTAAAATATCACAACTACTCCATTCTTTCCATTAACTACTTACCTACCTACAAAAAGATAGGATATTCTTTCTTGTAACTGTGTTTGTACCTATGCTTTATGCTTTACTTCAGATTACACTGTGATCTGAGAGCTTTACTGTCTGGTAAGTATTTATTTCAGTGTTCTGTTTGGTTTATATTATTGTATTTTGCAACGTAGGTAATTTAAATCGTGTATTTTGTAATAAATAAACAGTGTGCAACGCGCCGGCCGGCGGGCGGAGGGGCGTGCGGAGTGCGGGACGGGGACGGCAAGGCCGCTCACTGGGGGCGCATCGATCCGAAACAGCTGACAGATAAACCGGCAAACTCAATTATCACAATGAAATACGTAACTCTTTACAAAGAAATTACTTAAACCTCATTTCAATAAGCATACCTTACTATATTAAACATGCTTTCGATGAAAATAAGATGTATTAATAGAGATATTTAAACAAAGACCCGGGTGGTGAAGTGACATCATATTTTAGACAGAGATAGGAAGACTCGAGTCGGTGTGTGTAAGAGGGATGGGTGTTTGCGTTGCGCAAGTGCTTTCCAGCTGATTTTGACTGTTGCCAACTGGGGCCGGGTGGCGGAGGGGTTAGGAGTGAGAGGGGAATGCGTGAAGGGCTGTGGAGGTCGATTCAAAGTTGCATCCCTATTAATATGCATGCGGGCTGGTTGATTGTTTAATTTTTGAAGTTCATGTAGGTGTCAATAGAAACACAAAGGGAGGGTTGTGTTGTGTGTAGGTGCGATGCAATGCAACACGCCGGTTGGTAGACAAGCAAGTGGAATGTTCATTGTCATTTTGTATTTCATCGAGATAAATCAACATAGGGACGGTATGTGAAGTACATAAGTTCTTAAAAAGAAGTTCTTTTTTGATTACTTAAAAAGTAAGTACTAAAATAATAATGAATTTATCGAAAAGTATAAATTCTAAAATAAAACCGGACATGTAGGTACCTAACCTATCTACTAAACGTTATGTCTGGAATTATTATCTCTAATAAATTTTATAATTTATTTAAAAAAGCGGTTAAATCCTTTTACATGATTATTTAGTGTAAATAAAATAAAAAATCGACATTGTCATTATTCAAACAAAACGATTACCTAATTACCTATACGAAATGACTCTTTTTCATCTTACTACATTAAATGACATTACATGAGAAACAAAAAAAAAATTTTTTCCGTTTGTGCTACCCTAATTTATGGCTTTTGCGAATAGCTAACGTATTTGGTACTAAGCAATAATTATAAATATATCTTTATGCAAGGCGTTGTGACCTCCGTGGCTGAGTGGTTTGTCCGCCAGGTTTCAAGGTACGCCTACTCGAGACGCCACGAGTTCAAATCCCGGTGGAGGGCAGATGTTTGTGTGATGACTGATGAATACGAGCATTTGTACTGCAGTCATGGATGTTTAATATGTAGGTATAAATTTATTTCTATATAAATATACTTGTATATGTATCAGCATATCTATTCTATCCCGCTTTACCCTAGTATTCCATAACACAAGCCTACAGTGCTTACTTTGGGGCTAGGTTAATTGGTGTGAGTGTTGGAAATATGTGGACAAAACAAAAAGGCGAGGTAACTTCTTGTCTCGTACAAGGATTTGGTCATACCATAAAAAACCGCCGGTCGTAGTGGTAAAGCCAGAATTTCGTTAAACATATTACATAATGGCACCGAAAAAAAAAATACAGGATCGCAGATTATCTCCTTGTATTGTTTACAATCAATCATACCCGTTAATAACCAAGAGAAGTATTTATCTTGTGTCAACACGAAAGACCGCTGCGTTTGTTTTCAATATGGACATTGAAATGTATTTTTCACCCAACAACGGTAAAAGGAAAGATGGGTTATGATCAGACCCGTCTTTCCCAGGGCCCCGCGATCGATAGGGGGCCCCCTCAGATCAAATACAGAGTCCTACAGTTCCTGTTAAATCACCAAACGGAAGTCAAGGGCCCCTTTATCCTAATATGCCCAGGGCCTCCAATAGGTCAAAGACGGCGCTGGTTATGATTGTGCCCGGTTCTTTTTTCTCTACACCACTAGGAGAGTTCAAAAATATAGCGAAACATAAACATGACTATGTAGGTCAGGGCATTAAATTAAAAGTAACGCTCAATAATAAAACTAACAAAAACCGAACACGGAATAATTTCGTATGTTCCCACTAGTTCTATAATTTTGTGCTACAAAATAGTAATATTAGTTTTACTCTTTTTCCCCCATTTCTTCTAACTGTTTTTCTACGGTAGCATAGCACTAATAGGAGTTTTTGTTCCCACTAGTTCTATGATTTTATGTCACAAAATAGTAATACTAGTTTTACTCTTTTTCCCCCATTTCTTCTAACTGTTTTTCTACGGTAGCATAGCACTAATGGGAGTTTTTGTTCCCACAAGTCCTACGTTTTGATATGTACCAAAATAGGCAACCTAGTTAAACTTTAGTTCCATTCGTTCTACTCTATGAAATGTTTAATTTGTACAGAGCTGTACAGAGTGCAAATAATGCCACCAATTTTTTTGGTAGTTTATCAAAGCAAACATCTTTGTTAGATCAATCACAGACAAAATTCAAAACCAACTGTGGGTCCCATGTATTTATATATTTAATAGGTGTACTTACAGCTAAACATAATTAAAATAATACTTATTCTAAGACTAATATGCAAGCCTTTACAAGCACACGCAACATTCAATTGAGAAAAGTGAAATGTAATTAATAATCAATAATAATAAATGGAATTCATAATCCATGAATAATCATTAAAAAATAGTGCAATTAATAATCAATGTTTGATTTAAAATTAATAATGTATGTCAAATTGATGCAAAAAAATAATAATGTAATGTCAAATAAATAACTATAATAATGCGGAATTAATGAGAATCGAGCAACTCAAACAATGTTGCTTTAAAGTTTTTCTGCGAAACTTCAAAAATGTCCAAGTTGGGTGATCTTGTGTTAATATCGATAAAGGTAGTCCCTTTTTACCACCGGACGAGGAGACGTAGACAGGGACTATATCCGTGCGTGGTTGACATTCCTCCACTGCGTAGGTACCTTAAGATTTGCATCCTCCTTCATCATACGAACCGCTAGGGAATGAAATAATCTTCCTGCGTCATTATTCCCCGATACGTATAATATAATAGGCATTATTTGCGTCTACTTGCTTCAGTTTAAACCACATAGTTGCTAAACATCTGGCGCGACTGCGATAGTGGTAAAATACACCTAATTTTTCTACAAAAAAGTTACAATAATATATAATCTCCTAACTAAATCCTAATCTTCCACGACAACGAATGTTTCAATAAAAAGAGCAACTTGCAAGCAACGTACGTACGTGCGTCTAGCGGTACGCTGTGTGATGCGTTGCAGTGTATGAATGAAAAGCCTAAGGCGATTAACTTTTGTGGTTAGCGCCATCTGCGTCTAAATATGGACACCAGTAGCACAGTGCTACGAAATTTAATATTCTTGCTTAGTCTTATCCATTGACATAGCATTTAGTCTTATCCAAAGAGGTTAAATAACCTACGTTTAGTCTTGTCCATTATAGCACCCGACGCACGTTACAAAGTTAACGTTACAAGCTTGATAATGACTGGTTTGGATGTCCTCTGTTGGTATAACATTTTCATCAAATAAATAACTACGAATCTAGGAACTGTAGTCACAGTGTAGTGGTTGGAGCCGAAATCGTTATCTAGTATTAATAAACCTATAGTACGTTATCAGAACGGATTATTCACCAAGGCAATATAAATCAATTGGAAATCAATACATTTATTTTGTAATGTGTGTAAACGTCTGTTAAACTGTAGTTATATTGAGAATACAGGAAATCTTATGAGAAACACAATCGTAATAGAAAACAATTTTCGACCAGTACCATTTATGACATTTGACCATAGACCGGCCAACGGCCAATTGACAGGTGTTTGAAAAATAAAAAGGTGACAAAAACCGAGCGGAAATTACAAAATAATACTGGAAACATTTTTATTCTGAAATATTCAAAAGTTCCACGATGAATACTAAGTTTCATTAGGAGTGAACGGTTTTTTGTGAGCCCCAAATGATGAGTGTATATTTGCTGTGTTTGAGTTTTGTAATTTGATAATAAATATGTATACACTGAAGGGTATTTTTCCGGAACCCAGTAAGTACTAGTATAAGTTACTTATCTAAATTTGATTGAAGGAGACCAACTCGTTGTCATGTTGTTCTTGTTTGTTACCCATCACCAAAGCAACAAGTTAAATTAAATAGTAATATGGCATCTAACCTTTCATTTTCCAGAAAAGGAACACAAAAAGAATTTCATCAAGGAAAATATGAAACAATTAAAGTTTATTCAAGGAAAGTCACCAAAAGAACCGAAGTTCACATTAAAGAATGTCCCACCACCTCGACTGACCAGCACCGTGACGACAGGCAACAGTTTGGGTCAAGTGAAGTCTTCACCATCAAATAAAAGTGGGAAAGTATCACTGAATATTGGTAAAACTAATTCGACATATTCTCGTAAGAAGTATCCAGATGTTAAACTTAAAAAAGGTGATATGGCAGAATTTTTGAGAAGGAAACAGCAAAGACAGTTAACTAGACCGGCGGAGGAATCGCCTGATGAGGATGCAAAGTCTTCTGAGTCATCAGGTAGGGCAAGAGACATTGGTTGCCAGACGATAGAATCTAATCTTGCTCAAAAATTATCAGAAAGTGCTAAACTAACAATGCTTTATCCCAATAAAGAAGCAGAAGACGAATCAAAGTTAAAAGCCAGTGGGGATTCTGAACGTCGCTCACCATCACCCAGTATGAAACACCGGACCGGTGAAGATATAATTGAGTTTGAGAGGAACCGCAGCCGTCTCAATTCCATCTTAGAAAGGAAAGATAATAAAAAGGACCCTTATTTGCCATGTGGTAAGTAATACATGCTCTCAAAACCATGCTTCATTAATTACCTATTTATCCCGATACTTTTGTGTTACTATAGTCTTTTATAACAATGCTTGCAGGCTATCAAAAAGGTGTAGTTCCTAAGTACTTGCGTGACCGAAAAGAAAATGGTCCCAAAGAAGCTGAAGGTGCAAGAGCTGATGATGACCAGTCCATGTGCCCTCCAGGTCATGTGACATTGCCAGATACTGAGAGAAAAGAAACATTACGTATGCTTAGAAATAGTGAGTGACCTCTATTATTTATTTCTGTTATATCTATGGTATGGATAGGAAATATAGTACTTCTGTGGAAGGGACATCAACTGAAGCCCTGCTTTAATGGAATATCCTCTCGAATTCGAGCTCCAGTCTTGGAAAGGAATCTTTCAGAAGACCACATTAACCTCATGGGGCCCAGACACATTTTGAACACACATCATTTAGTCCCAACCGTCAAACAAATCCGTCCTGACAACTTTTGTTGTGCTTCAGGCCCACATTTTTAATTTACATGTTACATCTATAAGTTATAATTGGTATTTTCAGAACAAAGTTATAGTAATTTCTAGATGCCATTCCAGGAATAAAATTATCTATAATTTAAATTAATTAATGAAAAATAGGTCTATAATTTAAATTAATTAATAATGTTTTAATTATTTTTTATTTTGTTTAGTTAACCAGCTATTGGGCTTTAATACCAACTTGTTGAAAAAAGTTGTGGGCTTGAATCACTATTATTTTGTGTATTTAAAGGATGCATGGGCCTCACATACAGCTATAATATTCATATTCTCAAAATGTCTATGTCAACACATTTTTTATAACAAACTCTGCAAATATCCTGCAGTGTTTTTAGCGAATATTATGCGGCAAAGCGCCCGTAACAGTTACGGGGACCACAGTGGGCAGCCACTGCGGGGGCTCGTAAGGTTTGCGGGAGCCAGGTGTGAGGTCCGTTCGGGGTGTGTCTCTTAAAGGCACCGTCGTCTGTAAATAGAGGTTTTGCCTGCGTCACAAAAAAAAAGGGTTCAGGCAAGCCAGATTTATTTATGATGTCAGGCACATTTATGCTTTTTTGGCTTATCTTTGTGACTGCACTCCACTTACACTTGAAGTATGGCCTCTACATAATAGGGATGATGACTAATTTTTTTTTCTTTGTTTATCGGGTAGATTATCAAAAAGTATTGGACACATATTTTTTCTTTTTTCACAATATAAGCATTGCAGAGATATATTGATTTGAAAAGTCGCATGACGTCACGTTTGAGTACACTTATAAGGGAAAATTCACTCAAAAGTGACGTCACGAGCCCCTACTCCCAAACTTTGACGCGCTATAACTTTTTCATTTTTTGGTTGATTGCCCAAAGAAAAAATATGTGTCCATTATTTTTTGATCATCTAACTGACGGACTTAATAGAATTTCGTTTACTGTACCCCGTCATCACCCCTATTATCATCCTTAGTGAAAGTTGATCAACCTTCTACTCTTCAGATCAGTTAATGATTTATCCATTGGATTTAGAAATTTTTCCTAATCGCTTATTTAATTTTTAGGTTTTGCCGAATTAGTAAGTGAATTAAACAAAATGCCTGTTAAGACAGACACATTGAGGATGAGAAATAGAAAAATGGAATTGGAGAAACAGCTTGCAAAACTTGAAGAAGGCATCAAAGTGTTTTCTAGGCCCAAGGTTTTTGTCAAGATAGGAGAATAATTTTTTAGACCATTTTGTTTTTGGAAAGAGCAAGTAGCTTTTATCACTTAAGTCAATGCTACTTTTTAATTAAATTCAATGTAAATGACACTGACATGCATAATTTTCAAATTCCCGTGATCTTATGAGTAAGTTAATTTCTTATATGTTAGTTTAATATAGAATGTTATGTACTGAATTGTTGTAATTAATATAATGGTATATTTTGTATGGTATACAGTGTTTCTATAACTTTTGGAGATTTAATAAAATATACTGATTTCCAGTTTATATGACTGTTTAATAAAACAACATAACATGCTTCATAGTCAGTTGTATTCTTGGTAACTAACACAAAGTAAATTCAACAAATAAAATAATGTGATAACAATATACAAAATTAACACAATTTTTTTAACAAGGACTATTAACCACTAAAAATGATGATGGTGTTGCTATAAAATTTGCAACAGGTACCACTAGGTGGCAATAAAAGGGTACAGACCGTTAGCCACTGGTAGAGCCCCATATTCATGGTTAATTGATGATTAATTAACATAATTCATAGTCATGTTGCAGAGTGGATCACATCACAGTCTAGTAACAAGCAACATATTTGTTGATAACCCACATTAAGATCAAGTTCTGCTCAACACGCCCCAAACTCTAAATATGTATAAAACACAATATTCTTTGAATATGTTACTTCAAAGAAGGTCATCAATCTTAATATTTAGTGACTAAATAAATAATTAAGAGCTATAATCACAGGTACTTTGGATACTTAAAACTGAAAATGGAAGGCAGGGGTAAATATTAAAAATGTTCTTGCTTTCTACTTGTTCACAAAAAAATTTAGCTATTTCTTCATTATGGTGCTTTCTTTTCTAATTCAAAGTGAAACAACAATAAACAAAGGTAAATTTACGCTTTAATTATAACTTTAGGCGCACTATAGCAAGTTAATTAACTTGCTATAGTGCGCCTTAAAAGTAATTGGCACCGGCACCAAAAATACTTAATTTTTTCTTTTCAAGGTCTCTTAGAAACAATATTAAATATCCATTCATGCATAAAGCTAATCCCTATAAGGGAAAATAGTTGGGTTTTGTTTTTTAAACTAAAGTCTTCTCACGTGTTGGAATATATGGTTATTGAATATGATAGGACCTTTTCTAAAGAATGCCTCATCATTACTGTGCCATTCATAAAAAGAAAAATCTGGAAAGAAGAATTTAATTTCTCTCTCTGCAGATGCCAAAGAATCTGAAAGAAAATAATTATTATATTAGCTTCCGTTGTTTAATAATACAACCTGAAGTGTCATAGATTTAAGGAATCTCTTATTTATTCTATCAGTAAATACTACTATATAAGCACTGATAAACTTAAAGTTAACTCTTAAAGTTTATCAGTGTAAAGTGTGTATAGCTAATATTTCAGATTCATTGTAAGCATTTGTTAAGAAACAACATTACCTGAACCATGTGCAACATTTCTTGTGTCTGAAATTCCAAACATGCCACGTAAACAATAAGGTTCTTGAAACTGGCCTTTGTAGACACTTGTTGGACCCAAAAGACCTCTCCAGAGCTCTATAGCATTTGTATGGCCCATCACATGAAGATCTATACAGCCGCTGAAATTTGTGGTAAATAGTGTGGTTAGTAAAATGAAAACAACAGATTTTGGTCAATAATGTGTTAGATAGTGGCCCGTGTTTGAGCATAAAGTTGAACAAATATGATAAGGTAACATTGATATAAATTTATATTTGTTACTTTGGTGCAGTGCAGAGCGATGTGTTATCTGGGGAATTTAAGGAAGATGCATATTTTAAAATGTGGTGGCTCTATTAGCACATAGATATCTGTTTGTATCTCCAAGGTAATATGCTTACAAACAACACGCCAAAAATTTGGCAAACTAATGAACTACAAAACCATTTAAGTTGGCGATGAACTTTGGTCACATGAACAAAAGTTAATATTTACCTGGCCATGAAAGTAACTAGTCGGTTGTAAAAAAACTTTCCCACATGTTCTTTATAAAATTTACCAGCAGTCTCAACATCCAGCGAAGTTCGTTTTGTTTTAATCACTATGAATTTATTTTTTATAACCTGACGGATGTATGAAAGTGCTACAGGATTTTTGATGGCATGAGGCTTTATTATTGCTAGAGTTAACTGCAACTTCTGCATCTCAGAAAGTAAATCTGAATTAAATTATTTAAAAGTATTGAAATCACATTTTTGAAAACTTCTAAACGGAAGGATGAGGGAATCTTAAAAATAAGTACAGACAGCTGCCATAATGCAGTCACTTCACTTGGCTATTCGTATTTAGCATTTCTAAACTTGACAGCAGTGGTTGCTTTCCAATTACAGAGCATAATGTGACTCAGTGCCGCACAATGCCGAATTATGCTGATGCTTAATTGGAACGTGAATTAGTTTTCAAATGCACCAGCAGAATGCGCAGTTCAGTGTTGAAAAAAAAAGTCAATGTTTGTACCTTCATCCATACTTATATTTATTTTTTAACAGTGTGAATGAACTTTGATTATTTAAAAAAAACTATTTAATGAAACGATAACTTTAATATTTTTTCAACATTAAATGATATTACAAACGATAACATATAAATAAAACATTTCGATCAATGCCAACTTAAAGAAAAAACACTTGTTAATTTTCTGTCTCTAAGTTGGTACGATTGCACGCATCATACGAAAGCATCACTTTTGAGAGTGCTCAATTGTGCGAAGCGTTGCTGTAGTTGGAATACTCAACGTTAATGCCGCATAATGCGCTATAATGCTGTAATTGGAAAGCAACCAGTATGTCCCAAGGTAATTTAAAAAAATTAAAAGGACAGACATGAGTAGCCAGGTGAAGTACCGGTATAAGTCCAATTACCCAAAACTGTCAAATACCTATCACCAATCGACATAAAGCTTTATGTCACTTCTAATAGGATTCACAATCTATTGAGAGAATTTGACAGTACGGTATGGTGTTTCGCTGTTGTTATCTGTACTTACCATTTTTTTTGTAATATTCACTGATTATAAAAAGACAAAGTAATATCCAAACAGCCCTATCTTTAGTATTTTTCGTGTTTATTTATTTGCGCTGTTGATCATCAAAAAGTAAAATTATTGACCATTTTGTAACTGATTCTAATGTGCCAAGAACGCGTAGACATAAAATGTATGGAGTGAGCTTCCTCAATTAGTTTCTCTAAATCAGGCACTCCAACTTAAAAACATTTTTAATTTCACTGCTACGTTGCCATAGGATTGCTCCGAAAGTTATTTAGAAGTCTTGTCATACATACCTATATCTCTGTTCCTTTATGGGCACTTATAGAGCAGTATATTCTGTGGAAATTCAGTTGCATAACTTAACCATCATTAATTACAATAAATAAGCCGTTATCAAGTCATATAGGATATTACAGGAACGTAAATTTATTTGGTTTCATAATTCATTTTTTGAAAGACGTATTCACTTCATACCGTTTGCCTGCACTAACAAAAATCTAATATTGACAATGGTGTTTGTCTGGCAGGATTCTCTAAACAAAACTAAATTTAACATCAGTCTGTACTTTTCATTTTGTATAGAGAATGACAAGGATACACTGTTGTCAAATTTAAGTTTAGCTTTAGATAATCACGCCAGAATCGACACCACTGACAAATGGCAACATTAGCCGTCATGCTATAGGTAATAAAAGAAGAAGAGGGCTGTATGGACTCAGAATCCTTTTCCAACAGGAACAAATTAATTAAAAAAAAGGAGACTTTTTTTTAGTTCTATTCTTCTCTATTCAGAAAGGCAAAGGCAAACTTATTTTTGTATTACTCTTCCTTTTTTTTACAATTAGAATGTGGGTGTGACGCATTCTAATGCTTTTTAGAGTGTTTGGCACGAAATATATCGACTTGGCTTTTTCGATAAGCTTCTGTGAGGTAGTCAATACTACAATAAAGTTCCCACGTCCACTTGACCGGAATAGCGTATATTTTAAAGATTCCACTAATTCTTCAGTTGCGCAGACGATTGTAACACAAAATCACACCAATTTTATTTCACAATATCCACTATGAACAAATTTAAGAATAATTAAAATAAGACGCCAACCGCACTCGATGTATGCTTTCCAATTACAGAGCATAATGCGACTCAGTGCCGCACAATGCCCAATTATGCTGATGCTTAATTGGAACGTGAATTAGTTTTCAAATGCACCAGCAGAGTGCGTTAAGTTCAGTGTTGAAAAAAAAAGTCAATGTTTGTACCTTCATCCATACTTATATTTATTTTTAACAGTTTGAATGAACTTTGATTATTTAAAAAAAACTATTTAATGAAACGAAAGCTTTAATAATTTTTCAACAATAAATAATATTACTAACGATAACATCTAAATAAAACATTTCGATCAATGCCAACTTAAAGAAAAAACACTTGTTAATTTTCTTTCTCTAAGTTGGTACCATTGCACGCATCACACGAAAGCATCACTTTTGAGAGTGCTCAATTGTGCGAAGCGTTGCTGTAGTTGGAACACTCAACGTTAAGCATTATGCCGCATAATGCGCAATAATGCTGTAATTGGAAAGCAACCGATGAAATCAATCCCGCCAAAAACTCGAAGATGAAGACAGTGACAAATGTTTGACATTGGCTGAACGCACAAACCGTGCATGCCATAAAAAAAGAAAAAGAAGAAGAATGTTTGACATTGACAGCGACCGTAGCCGCTTGGTCGCTTGTTTAGATAAATAATCTTGAAAAAATATCAAATAACGAAGAAAGGATTTATATTCAACATTTTGTTACATTTCATATCATCCCACAAATATTTATCAGTATGGCTGACATTGAGATGAAACGAAAAGCTGACGACTACTCAGTCGTGCCAGCGAAGAAGACTCGCCACGAAATTTCTGTTGTAGGGACCAGAGAAAAAGCTGTTGTTACATCGTCGGTATGTAAAACTGTTTTAATACATATAAGTTGTGCATTTAAGCTTTTCCCGGCGTTCAACGAGTGTAGCGCGATGGCCATACCTCGCACTCTTATTTATACTCTGATAACCTCATCATAAGAGATACATGGAGTAAAAATATTTTACGATAGCGTAAAAATGTTTCTTTAAACTTCTTGCAATCACGGAAAAACTCAGCTCAGCCTTAAAATCCATGACCTGTTGACTAGAAAACAAACATTGATAAATCCCTTTATTTGGCGATTTTATTACACTACCGAATTAATGTTAAGCATTAACTGAATACCATGCACTCTTAAGGGGTCCAATGACGTTTTATATCTTAAATTTTGTCATTTCAGGTTCCTCGTACATCAAATTTGTATGCTCCCATAATGCTGCTAGAAGGTCATCAAGGGGAGATCTTCACTGCAAAGTTTCACCCTGAAGGAAAACATTTGGCATCTGCAGGTTTCGACCGACAAATCTGTGAGTGTTTAACATTTCATACTTTCATTCTTGTGGGGTAAGAGGACATGGTAATGTCGAAAACATCGTTCAAAGTGTTCTTACAGAAAATCTCATTTTACCTTGAATCATTGTACTTGTATAATAAATTATTAACAATATGTTACTCACATAACTAGCCCACAAGAAGTTTGTTTGAATTTAGATGATATATATCAGTCAAAAATGCTATTGTTCAACAGATCTATTTGTACACTGTCTTATTTATTGTGTACAAATAAAAAAATGCTGAATCCATTAACATTTATGCATGTGCAAAGTTAGAGACCAATATTGAAACTAACCTTTCCCAATAATGATGTTTTCAATATACAAAACTGTTTTTTCTTTCATTTGAAAGAAGAGAAGGGAATATGAAGTGTAGTATGGTAGAAAATTATATAAAAATTGATTTTATTGATTGATGATTAGAAATTAGAGATTAAAAAGATTAGAAAATTGTAAATATTTGTGAACATTGTTTGTTACAGTCATGTGGAATGTCTATGGTCAATGTGAGAATGTGATGGTAATGTCCGGTCACACCGGTGCCATTATGGAGCTCTGTTTCTCACCAGATGGCTCCCATCTGTACACTTGTGCCACAGACAACACAGTGGCCGTGTGGGATGTACCTACTGGCATGCGGATAAAAAAGTTGAAGGGCCATACAAATTTCGTCAATTCTGTATCAGGTTTGTCCTAAAAAGTATTTTCAAAATTTATTTAAATTTTATGTACTTTTTTTCTTAATTTTGAAATATTGATTTTACTCATCATCACACATTTTCATTTAACTACCTTAAAATGAGGGTACTATTTTCTTATAACATTGAATGTATTGTATAACTTTAGCGACATTGTAAATATCAATCCAAATTCATGATCAACATCGCAAAGTCATTTATTCAGTTTAGGCTTTTACAAGCACATGTGAAAGTCGAAAACTACGCCATCGGTTCGCAAAACTGCGGCGGAAGACCTTGTACTGAGAAGAACCGACAAGAAACTCAGTAAGGGCTGCTTTTTTCTCCCTTTTTTATTTCATATAGTGTCGTCAAATTGAAAGTTGACATCAAACTTGCAAACATGTGTTGAGGTCAACTTCCATCACATAATGTCAAATAGGTTACAATAGATAATTAACGAATTTACTAAAAATAAGTGTAAACTCCCAAAATAGCAAGAAGCAATCTTCAAAACAAATTGAACAAGTATATGAAAAGGAGTAAGTACAAGGTGCTCTTCAAAACTCTTTCTAAGGCCCCCAGTTCTAATATAAATTTTGAAAAATATCTACAGGTAAAATTACAACAAGGCCATTTTATCATTCAAATATTGTTTTACAGTATAACATCCTTTCTTAAGTAAGCAATTCTTAATGTGTTTTTTAAATTTATGAAAAGGCAAATCAAGAATATCATATTAATGGATAGTAATGATCAGACAAGGCCCTTCCCCACATTAAAAGAAAATGTCTGTGAACATAAAACTATATAGTGAAGAATATCAAGGAATGTAAGTTACTTTTTTTGAATACATCATATATTAAAACATTGAAATTCATTACTTTCAGGAGCAAGAAGAGGTCCCGAATTATTAGTTTCAGGGTCAGATGATAACACAATAAAATTATGGGATGCCAGAAAACGAAATCCTATAGCATCCTTAGATAGTTCATACCCAGTCACATCAGTATTGTTTAATGACACAGCAGAGAAAATAATATCAGCTGGCATAGACAACGTCATCAAAGTTTGGGATATCAGAAACAACCAGATATCATACAAAATCAAAGGACACACAGACACAGTTACAGGTATAATAAACTATTTTAATGGGCACTGACATTCATCTCTGAAAGTCATTTTCCATTATTACTTATATCATAAGTTTGATTAACCCAAGAAAACAACATAGCTGTTAGTGGTTCAAATATTTCCAGACACCTTGTCTGAGTGTATATTTTCGTAGTAAAAATATAAAGCTTATGTTTTATTCTATTTTTAAGCATTTAACTGCTAGATGTTTTAATCTAAAGAACAGAGGACGAACGGACGCACTCCCAGATCTTAAACCATTCAAGAACACACTTGAAAGCACAAACTACATTGAAACGAGTTCAGCAATTTAGTTCAGATCAAGTTTACTAGAAAAAAAAGAAAAGTTTACTAGAAAAAAAGTAAACTTTTCTTTTTTTTCTAGTAAACTTTTCTTTAGATATAAAGCTTTATAAATAAAGCAGATAAATGCTATAAATAAAAATACAGTAAAAAGAAAACAATATGATAAACTTCTCCTGTAATTGATCTGAACTGAATTGCTGAACTCGTTTCAATGTAATTTGTGCTTCCAAGTGGGTTCTTGAATGGTTTAAGATCTGGGAGTGCGTCCGTTCGTCCTCTGTGTATATGTATCATGTTGAGTATGCGTCAGGCGTGTCGTTGTCGTGGGACGGCTCATACCTGGTGTCCAACAGTATGGACGGCACGGTCCGCATCTGGGAGTGCGTCCGTTCGTCCTCTGTGTATATGTATCATGTTGAGTATGCGTCAGGCGTGTCGTTGTCGTGGGACGGCTCATACCTGGTGTCCAACAGTATGGACGGCACGGTCCGCATCTGGGAGTGCGTCCGTTCGTCCTCTGTGTATATGTATCATGTTGAGTATGCGTCAGGCGTGTCGTTGTCGTGGGACGGCTCATACCTGGTGTCCAACAGTATGGACGGCACGGTCCGCATCTGGGAGTGCGTCCGTTCGTCCTCTGTGTATATGTATCATGTTGAGTATGCGTCAGGCGTGTCGTTGTCGTGGGACGGCTCATACCTGGTGTCCAACAGTATGGACGGCACGGTCCGCATCTGGGAGTGCGTCCGTTCGTCCTCTGTGTATATGTATCATGTTGAGTATGCGTCAGGCGTGTCGTTGTCGTGGGACGGCTCATACCTGGTGTCCAACAGTATGGACGGCACGGTCCGCATCTGGGACGTTCGTCCGTTCGCGCCGTCGGAGCGCTGCGTGAAGCTGATGTCGGGACACTCGCACAACTTCGAGAAGAATCTGCTGAGATGCGCCTGGGCGCACGACGGGGCTAAGGTAAACTATGCTTTTAAAATATTCTACTAATATTTTAAGTATTAATGTGTGATGTGTAAGTTTGTTGTAAAAACGACTGAACAGATTTGGATGACATTTTGCACACATAGTTATTTAATTAGATTATGACATAGAATATTTTTTATCCCGAAATATGTTTTTATTTGAGAGATTCTCAAAGAACTATAGTTAACGCGGACTAAGACGCGGATGAAGGCTGGGTATATTAATTATATTAAAGAAGAAATAGTTTTACGATTAAAATCCTAGTATGGTAGCTGTTATACGTTTTATAAGAATTTAATCTAATTCACTATCACATGATTAGAATAACCAATCGTAGAATGAAAGATCAAAAATTAGAATTTGAGCTCATGTTCTGTTTCGGAAAGCACGTCAATCTGTAGGTCTAGGTTGCATTTTAGCAATAAAATTGTAAGTGTGTACTATTTTGCACCGGGCCCTCGTAGTGAATCCATGACTATATAAATATACTCATATATGCACAGTATATGTATTCTATTCGTTACCCTAGTATCCCATAACACAAGCCTCACAGTGCTTACTTTGGGGCTAGACTAATTGGTGTGAGTGTTGATAATATTTATTAATTTAAATAAATACAGGGTGTAAATAAAACCTATAACGAAGTCGAATGCCACGTATTTTCCACATTATGACGATATTTTTTTTCTTCTGGACCATACCTGGGAAATTTATGGTTATGGAGATATTGAAGGTCAAAGCCAAAATATCTTTTTCAGGATTTATACATTAATATTTTCAAAACGTCATTTAGAAACTTTTTTATCGACGCACCTAGACACACATACACACCGGCACATTGATTGCGTAGCGCCACAGTAGCGCGCCGCGCTATACATTGCGTACCGGAAAAAAAAGGATTTTTTTTAACCTAAAAATTCAATTTTTTCCCACCTATAATCTCTTATCTATTAGACAAGTCCGTCCGTCCGTCTGTCTGTGGTGCTGTTTCAGCGGCCAAACCGTAAGAGATAGATAAAGAGAATATTTAAGTTATAAGTTAAGAATAGTCTGATAAGACTACAAACCGGATTTGAGTAACGTAGCACTTCCGGTTTTCGAGAAATCACGAATTTCAAACGAAACCACACAAAATCTCCGAAGTTCTCAATTAATTAAATACATTTTTTTTTTAAATCAGGTTTTGGTGAACATTTGGTTCACTGGTTTGCTAGTATCTTGTAATATGACTTGTTTGGGTATACAGAATGCGTAGTTTAAGTCTGTCATAGGTTTTATTACACCCTGTATAGTGCAACAAGGCTCTTTATAAATACGAAGATTCTTATCGCACTATAATCGTCAGAGACTTTAACACTCGAGATTCAAATGCACTCCACGAAATTTATGGACAAGTCATTTGTAGTTCAGGCTGCTCGTTTGTGGAATGCCTTGCCGGAAAAAAATCAGAGGTGCTAAAACATTACCTTGTTTTAAAAAAATGTTAAAGGAACAATACCTGACACTTTAGCTAGTCATCACATCATCCAAAGTATGATTAAATTGTTATTGTGTTTATATATGGATATATTATCTCTTATCTATTAAACAAGTCCGTCTGTCTGTGGTGCTGTTTCAGCGGTAAGAGATAGATAAAGAAAATATTTAAGTTATAAGTTAAGAATAGTCTGATAAGACTACAAACCGGATTTGAGTAACGTAGCACTTCCGGTTTTCGAGAAATCACGAATTTCAAACGAAACCACACAAAATCTCAATTAATTAAATACATCCTGTGAACATTTGGTTCACTGGTTTGCTAGTGTTTATGTATTTGTATTTTATTTTAGTTTTTGTTGTACATAATTATTTATAAGTATTATTAATGGTAGTTTTACTTTAAATGACACCATCTACTTCCCACTCTCTATGTAACAGTTCAGTTAAGATACGGTTGCCTGGAAGAAATTGCTTCTTAGCGATAAGGCCGCCGTTTGTACTATAATGTAATAGTCTTAATTAATTGTAATTTACAATCTCATGGTGTACAATAAAGTTTTCATTCATTATAATCTCAATAAGGATGATGACAAATTTTTATTTATTCGTTTATCAAAAAGTATTGGACACGTATTTTTTCTTTTTTCACATAATATAAACATTGCAGAGATATATTGATTTGAAAAGTCGCATGACGTCACGAGCTCCTACTCCCAAACTTTGACGCGCTATAACTTTGTCATTTTTTGGTTGATTGCCCAAAGAAAAAATACGTGTCCATTATTTTTTGATCATCTAACTGACGGACTAAATAGAATTTCATTTACTGTACCCCGTCATCACCCCTATTGTGGTATCATCAGGTGGCGGCGGGATCCGCGGACCGTTTCGTTTACATCTGGGACACGACGTCGCGACGCGTGCTCTACAAGCTGCCCGGCCACAACGGATCCGTCAACGCGGTAGACTTCCATCCGCGCGAGCCTATCGTACTGTCCGCTTCCAGCGATAAACAAATATACCTCGGCGAGATAGACCACTGATGCCAAATAACTAGCTCGTTACATTGTACAATTAAGTTAGGAATGATATTAATAAAATTATTTTTAATTTATCCCGTGTTGTTATTATTAGCTGGAAGAGAAAACAGTGAGTCCATCATACGGGCTGCCATCCGTCCGGGTTTCCCCGGATTTGTCCTAGTTTACGGGGCGTCCGGGGAGCGTCCGGGCGGGGTTTTATTTGTAGTCCGGGTTTTTTAGAAATTTACGGCAACGCATGAGTGGCCCTTGGCGCTGCAAGTGTCCATGGGCAGCAGTAGTGACCACTTATTATGAGGTAGACCGCTAGCTCTTTTGCCTAGATCAACATAAAAAGTTGATTTGTGACATTTCTAACTGTTTTTTTATTGGTCTGTCCGGGTTCTGGGCTCCAAAATCCAGGGTTATCACGCGTCGTATCCTGGTTGCCACATTTTAGAGATGGCAGCCCTAATCATATCGCACCTCCGGTGCGACACTGTCATTTATGCAAAAAAAACATTTTTCAGGAGAAGCGTTTAAAACTTTACGTCCCAAAACATACAATATTTAAAGTGTTTTTGTTATTTTTTTTAGATGAATAGCTAAGTAGTATAAGCTTTTCATCACGTAAAAATCTTTAAATATTGTATGTTTTGGCATGTTAAAGTTTTAAACTCTCATCCTGAAAAAAAATTGTTTTTGCATAAGTGACAGTGTCGCTTCAAACGATAAACAGATATACCTCAACGAGATAGGCCAGTAATGCTAAAAGCGATGACTGATGAATGTTAAAAAACATATTTTTAATAATTAATGTATGTATGTGTGTTTATTATTAGCTAGAAGAGAACCGCAAACCCATCCTTTCCGCTTCTAGAGACAAACAGTTAGACCACTAATGCTAAAAATTTGACAAGTTTGTGCGGATGGTTGTTAGAAATTCCATTCTATCATACTAATGTTATAAATGTGAAGGATTTGTATGTGTGTCACCGTAATCGCGCTAAAACGGCAGAACTGAAAAATGTGAGATACCTCTGCTAGGGGATTCTCAAATAATAATTATAATGACACACTAACTGCAGAAGATTATGTATTTTATCAGTGCAATCTACTTACCTTGAAATTTTAAAATAATTTACAAATAACAGGTATAACTATAAATTCTGTATTCATTTATGTTACAGTATTTTAAAAGTTTCCTTGTCATAGGTAACAAAGGGTGGCTACTGCCCACCCAAGAATTCGAGTGTCATACAGTTTTAAAATTTATGCAAGTTCAACGGAACAGCTGTCCCACTAGGCAAAAGCTATGCCAATGCAATTTGACCTCGTCAATTTCTCAAATGCTTTCAATGCTTCACACTATTGAAAACATAATACTAGAAATATTCACACTATTGAAAACATAATACTATAACTAGAAATTATATTTTTCTTCGCTTCAACTCACATGTTTTTATTAGTTAGATCTGTGCACAAACTTTTCAAAAACAAAGTGAATGAGGCGGTGGTATTTCAGGAATGAATCCTAGTTTAAAATCATTAGCACTGAAGCATTTACTAGAAATTATTTTTTTTTTCGCTTCAACTCATATGTTTTCATTAGTTGGATCTGTGCACAAACTTTCAAAAACAAAGTGAATGAGGCGGTGGTATTTCAGCAATGAATCCTAGTTTAAAATCATCAGCACTGAAGCTTACTAGATTTTTTTTATGCTTCAATTCACATGTTTTTATTAGATGGATCTGTGCACAAACTTTTCAAAAACATAGTGAATGAGGAGGTGGTATTTCAGGAATGAATCCTAGTTTAAAATCATCAGCACTGAAGCATTCTATGTCAGTAGGTGATAAATCATTCATGTTACTATAAATTGTGCAATCATCATTCTGCTTATTTGCTGCTTGAAAAATACTCGGAGCCGTATTTGAAAATGGTGTATTGCTTTGGACATTATTTCCAAATGGAGAACTTTCTTGTTGTTGACTAAATGGTGACGACCCAAAAGCAGATTGAGTTGCACTAGCAAATATATTTGCAGGATTTGTCTGTGGCTGATTGGAATTAAATACACTTTGACTGGCTTGGCCAAATATTGACTTGGCTGTGGTGTCGGGTTTGTCGAAAATATTTGTTGTTTGACTAGGTCCAAAAACTTTGTTTGACTGCTGGTTTCCATTAAAGACATTTTGACTAGTTTGATTTTGGCCAAAAATGCTGTGACTAGCTTGAGAAAATATTGATTTGGCATTATCTGTTCCAAAATTGGGCTTCTGATCAAACACTGATGGAGCATTCGGGGTTTGTGAAAAATTTTGTCCAAATATAGAGTTAGAAGGATTTTGTCCAAAGGCTGCAGTATTAGTATTTTGGCTAAATGCAGGAGTACTGTGGACAGCACTTCGGAATAACGATGAAGCAGAGGAATTTGACTCAAAGCTTGATGTCTGACCAGTACTAGCTAAAGGTGATGGAACCAATTCTCCTTTATATAGACTTCTCAGAACTTTTGTGATCGCAGCATTTGGCTGTAGTAATTGTTCATGTTTATACCTTGCATCTTTAAACAAATTGTTCATATAGGCTACCTGGAAAAAGATTTTTTTACTTTTATTTTAGGCTAATACAAACATAAAGTACTAAAACTATATAGTTAGGATACTTACAGCTTGATCCAAAGTATTATTTGCTTTTGCTTCATAAATGAATAGCCTTGCCTCTTCCATGGACAAGTCAGAGAGACCGGGGAAATTCGGTTTTTCTTTAAATGGGGAGTAGCAGGACAGAATCCACTGTCCTCCTTTTAGTATAGCCTGTACATCAGAAGGGACTTGATTCATTATCTGCTCATCTGTAAGTATACTGGAGGCAGGCTGACTGGCTTGAGAAGCTGAAAACAATGAAAAATTGGAAGTTTACTAGCGGCCCGCCCTCGCTTCGCTTCGGTATAGAACTGAAGTGTAGACCACAGTTTTTGTTCTCAGGCTTGTATTATACACAATGACATTAATCTATGATTCTTCTTATACCTGCATGCAAAGTAGCTGCAGTCCGATCGGTTTAAAATTGACAGTTTTATACGAACTTTCATTTCCTATTTTATCGCCTTCGGGGTAGATTTGATCAAAATCCTTTCTTAGCGGATGCCTACATCATAACATCTACCTGCATGCCAAATTTCAGCCCGATCCGTCCAGTGGCTTGGGCTGTGCGTTGATAGATCACTATGTCAGTCAGTCACCTTTGAGTTTTATATATATATTTTTTCAGGGGCAGCATTAGCTAAAGCGCTTCAAACAGCGCTTATCCTTTTTAAAAATAATTCCCAAAATCCCCATTCAAAGCGAGATCTCACATAATCCCTGAAATAGCATCGCCTGCGCTTTTGTTTTCTATGGCAGGTTCTTTAACACCTTGTTTACATCAAGAAACAAGTTATATACTAGTTTAATACAAAATTTGTAGGGTACTTGTTGTGTATCTTTACAAGTATAGATCACTATTTACTTCACTTCACATATTTTGTGTATCCAAAAAGTTTCATGCAAGTACAGTATACTACATGTTTTAGACATGTTCAAAACTAAGACATTGTATAAAATTTGTGTTATAAAAATGCATGTAATAAACCTTGGTGTAAACAAGGGGTGACACATTGTATTATGGTATATATAGCATGGTATTGGGTAAAACTGTACTTCCAGGGCCCAAAAGGTGATACTTGTTTATTTTTGTAGAAAAGGTCTTTTTAACATTTTTTTTTCTGGCGCTTCGCCGGCCGCTGCCGCGGCACGCTCGCTTTGCTCGCTCGGCTCGCGCGTTATGGTCACAACACTAACCTAACCTAACCTAGTGTGAAGTATCACCACTTGATAATTTTCAATATTTTTTTCTAAAAAACTACCAGTGCATAAGTGTGACATTTTTTTTAATAATGTGGTTAACAGAAACCTTTTTAACAACAAAAATGCGAAATTACAACCAACAAAACTGTGAAGTTTTTACTTTTGGGCCCTGGAAGTACAGTATATCCTGGTATTGAATAACTATGACACAAGAGGCTTTGAAGGTGTGAAAGAATCTTGCCCAACAATAAGTTTAAAATGGAAGGCATTAACCCCAATTAATTAATTGGATCCAGTAAACTTGTGCAGTTCGCAATTGGAAAATTTATACGTAATCAGGACGGAAGGCGGCCCTTAACTGGCATAACATATGCATATGAAATCGGAGTTTTAGAAAACAATCGCTTTAATGTAAGCGTAATTGGTCATAACAAACTTACCGTGATAAGAGTATTTTGAACCGTAAATATGGTCAAATCTACAGTTCTGACCATAACGGCAGTTTCCCTGCTGAAAGAATTTGCACACAACCATGATATATGTGCTATTTAATGTTCAGTACGTTGAATAGATACAAAGTGATCTCGAAAATACACAAAAAATCAATCCAGTCATAGTAACAGAACAGCTGACTTTGACATACGTGTTTTTTTTTTTAAATATCTCCCTTTTTAGGGAAGGCAAGGGGAACTAAAGCCCATACAGCCTCGTCTTCAGTTTGTTTATTTTATATTGATGAATAATTATCTTAATATATATAAATCTCGTGTCGCAATGTTTGATCTCAATGGACTCCTAAACCACTGAACCGATTATAATAAAATTCGCACACCATGTGCAGTTCGATCCAACTTGAGAGATAGGGATAGTTTAAATCTCAAATTATAGTCGCAATTTTAATTTATTGCAAATTATTACTTTTGGGCGGTACGAAGTTCGCCGAGTCAGCTGGTATAAATATATATTTTAAAGAACGCAACTTAATGACCGTCATAATGACAGAAGACAACAACACCCAGAAAAGAAAAACATTTCAAAGTTATAAAGACTGTAGCAAAATATTTGAACACTTCAATAAATATTTACGAAGACAAAACAAAATAATGAGTAACTTAAGACATAGCCTATAATTTTAAATTTGCCCTACAGTGCTAATAATAAATTTAAATAAAGATAAATATGTACAGCTATTCAAAAGAAGATCCTGAATTGAGCGCGGAACCATCTCTGATTGGAAAGTGGTGTTGATACTAGTTTATGATTTTTTTTGGGGAAGGCAAAGATAAGAATGCATTTTTTATTAGAATTAAAAAGTTCATTTTAATGAATAATTTTATTATTTGACATATTAGAAATATTGTTGCGTGTATATTGCTTTGTATTCGTTTTTTTCAAATATAAGTTTATTATTATAAAGAAATAAAAGGCAGCTAAATACCAAATCTTAGGGTATACTTTACTAACTTTGGCCAACAATGATTGGCCCTCTTGCATTTACATTAAAAAATGTATAAAGTATAAATAAAATACTGACCACAATTTGTTAATATTATTCTTAAGGCAAGTCTTCAATATTCTCTTTAACTCATGTAAATTCTGTCGTAGTTAATGGACCTATAAAACATAGAGGTATAAGTAGGGGAGATATTTCGGAGATTAACACTCTACTACAAGTGGAAGTGTCCCTCTAATAGAAAGAGAAACAAGATGAGAGACTGTTAGCTTTCTCTCTCTAATCGCGCATGCGCATTGGCAACTGTAAGCATCTTACTATTTCGATGTGATACCATTGGATGCCATGCGTCACAAGAGAGAGAGATAGCTAGCCGTCTCTCATCTTCTTTCTCTTTCTACTAGACGGACACAAGTGCCGCCTTCTCCACTCTATTCTTATACCTCTATGCTATAAAAATGTTTTTTTGTTTGATAGAATTCGCACAGGCTATGAAAATGCAGTCATTTTATTGAAGTCTACATTATGAGATAGGTGTTTAAAACACATTGATGTCGATTCTGACAGGATTCTTTAAACTTAAAACTAAATTTAACATCAGTCTGTCCTTTTCATTCTGTATAGAGAATGACAAAGATACACTGTTGTCAAATTTAAGTTTAGCTATAGAGAATCTTGCCAGAATCGACATCATTATTATCTAACTTAATGTTTTATTTTTTCCCATATTTAGTAAAATGTAACCATTGAATAGGTGAAAATTGTATTTTAGCGGAGTTTTACCTAAAATTCAACAATACATTACAGTTTTGGTATGCCAATCTTTGGTGTAGAGTCGAAAAAATAAGGTCTTTATGGTACAAGTCTGAACTGAACCGCAGACCACAGGCCGCAGCTGCAGACTGCAGGCGACACTACTAGTTTCTATGAATCTCTATGAAATTGATTCCGAGCGCGTCGACATGCGGCTGCACAATGCATATAATGCACGGTCAGCCGCGGGCGCTAGCCGCAGTGTCGTCTACGGTTGTCGCCTGCAGCCCATTGCGGAATTGTACCTTTACTCTTCCGCATGCAGCAATAAGTCGTAAAATTTTACGAGTTTGCATTTCGACCTCTCTGCTGTATAAGTCTCTGACGCATGCGTTTTAATTAAGACCTTATTCAATGTGCATTAACTGTAACTTTCAATGCTTAAATAATGTTTTATATTTTTTTTACCACAAAATTATCTGACGTAGCTCGCGCCATAGTATAGTCTGAACGCACCTTTAACCATCATGTCATGCATAGAATACAATACTATGTCTATGATGTGTGGGAAGGGCATAGATTGTAGAAGAACATCAAATTCCTGGAATTCCTCTGGTACCCATAGAGTACATTGTTAGGGTACCTATAATATACCAATACCAGAAGATAAAATTTTAAATTTCTGATTATGTTGTAAATCTTATCTGAAACAGCGTAAAGCTCAAAGTCAGGTGAAGAGATTTGACAGCTTTAGATAACTTTATAATACTAACTTTTGAAAGTCACATTTCATTTAATTCAAATTGAAGATTCGAAGCAGTAGAAGGAAATATTTTAAGTTGCGCCGGCCGACATATGAATAGGCCGGCACCTACTAAAAAAGGATAGCTCTAATAATTACATTTTAAGGTTAGTGACTAATAAGTAATTACCTACTGAACCATTGGTCAAGAAGACGGTGACACGGGGTTATTATAAATAAAACAAGAAGGGTTTTATTATGAATATTTACGTCATTGGTTTCATATCATGAACTATGGCAATCATCGCGCTAGCGGCAGTGGTGATAAATGTAATTTATTTGCATCATATTTTCAAACAACTTTTCAACAAAGTTCTATTATGAGTCGTAGTATCTATCACTGAAGTAATAAGTTTACTGTTAATATAGGATCATTGTTAAAATACATATTGACCCCACTGTAGTTCTACAACTCATGAAAAGTTTGGACGTGAACAAGGGAGCCGGTCCAGACAATATTCACCCTGTATTTGTTGTGGGTTGTGCACCTAGTCTTGTGAAACCACTGTGTTTATTATTTGATAAATCAGTTCATGATGATTTTATGCCTTAAATGTGGAAAACTGCATTTATTACACCTGTCTATAAAAAAGGTAATGAAAGAGACCTGTGTAACTACTGTCCGATTAAGAAATTATTCATATTTTCAATAATATTGGAAAGAATAGTTCACGCTCAACTATATGCTGCTTTCAGTTTGATTAAAACAACCTCTCAGCATGGTTTTGTTAAAAAAAAAAAGGTCTACTACTCTTTAACAATTTTGTAACTTCTGAGATGGATAATTGGGCTGAAATTCACGCTATTTACACTGACTATTGTAAATGTTTTGATCAAATTGATCATTCCCTCTTACTTTAAAAACTTTATTCTGCAGGAGTGCATGGTAGTCTATTTAGATGGTGCACGTCATACAATCAGAATAGATCTCAAGCAGTTGCTGTAACGGTTTTATGTCTTTGTGGTGTTCACTATCTTCTAGAGTACCCCAGGGTTCAATCCTGGGACCCTTGTTGTTTATAATATTTATCAATGACGTAACCACATTTCTAAGACACTGAATTTATCTTATTTGATGATGGCATGGAAATTTTTAAAACCCATTAGAAACGAAGTAGATTGTCTCTTCCTTCTGGAAGATCTTAATCGTTTTGAAGCTTATTGTGTTGTAAATAAATTAGTTCATTACATTACGTTCAAACATTAGTAAATATTCTCGATGTTTTTTAACACATAAAAACCATGCAGCCAAATTCTGTTACAAACTTATAAATCAGTTGCTCTGGTGTTCTCCAAGACTCCTAGGATGAACATGTGGAACAAACTGTTAATAAAGCATTCAAAGCATTTGCTTTTTTAATAAGATCCCAATTTAAAAATATGAAGACAATAAAGTTCTTATATCATTCTATTGTACGAAGTGTTTTGGAGTATTTATTTTATCTGTATTTCTTTATTGAATTTAATTTGGTCACAGTTTTTCCTAAATAATTATTAAATTTATTTAATTATTTATTGGCAAATGGCAAGTTTATTTATCAATTTTTGTTGCCAAAGCATCAAATATATTTTATTGAATAGGTAACTAAAGCAGTAATCATGATTCTGTTCATCTTTCATTGCATTATAAGGTATTTCCTGGGTTTTATTTCAAAAAGAATAAACCATAAATAGGCATAATAAGATCACCACGATTTCACCAATATCATGCTTGACTGGACTTATTGACATTTGGCATAGTGATTGAGTAGACGTTATAAGCTGCTACATACTAAAAATATGACGTTCTCTTCTTCTTGCAACGGGCGCTCCGCAACCCGATGTCCTTATGGCGCCTGTTTTGCGTGAGGAGGGTGTGTTGCTGGCTCACTCCAGCCAGCCCAGCTCCGTCGTGAAAGCCCCCAGGGCCTTTGGTGATTCCCTCTCGGAGTTTTCCCGGTGAGCGGAGGTATTTCGCCTGGTATTTGACCACTCCGTTGCTCTAGTTGTCTTCGCGGGTCCTATCCCCTTCGGCTTTGGGTGGTCCAGCTTCTGACTCGGACCCGGGATCACCTGGGGTTGCTTGGAGCCGCCGACCCAGAGTCCTTGACTTTCGACTGGACAATACGGTCGCTAGAAGAGGCAGTCGAACGGGAGACCCGTTTAAACTGCCGTCTTTTTCGCGTCCGTTCCCTCTGTCTCTTCATACGCGAGAAGGTCTGGCTGGGTGGTGCGTGGGTCCGAGTTTCCTCTACTATCTTCGCTCCTTTCCCAGCCAGGACCGTTCATTTCTGCTCAAGCAGTTTATGCTTGTCCTCAATCTGAGGTGTAGTGTAGCTTTGCTCAAGCAAGCATTCTCGGTTTGCGAGCGAGCAGCTGTTCCCTCTGGTTTCCCATCTGGTGTTGGTAGAACGTTAAACCACTGTGTGTCCACTGTTCGTGGTGTTAAACTTTATTCAGTCAACTTCCCACCCTTCTTGGAGCCTGCACATATGGGAGTGCCCATAATGGTGCACTAGGACTACCGACTGGTATAGGAGCAGAGAGTTGGTGTGACATTAGAGACTCGAAGTGTGTGGCTGGGTTACTGGTTCAGAGTACCAACCCAGTTGTTTCACATCACTCTTGTCTCGTCAGTACGACTCTAACCATCCAGAGCGGAAAGCCGCCCTGGATCCCCCACTCCTCGCTGCGGCCCTCTGACGAGACGCGTGACTGTTTCCCCTCTGGCGTAACCAAAGGGGCTGCTGTTTCAGTTGAAATCCGGACCAAAGAGAGCGTGTTGTGTCACGAAGGTACTACCGTCGACCTCGCTTCACTCAATCCTCCAGGACTCCTTCATCCCCCCTTACGGCGCTCAACTCCGCAGGCCTTACCGCAGGAGAGGCTCTCGTTTCCCGCTAGAACCGAAGGCCTTTGTTAGGGTAGGCCTTGAGGAAAGGATTTAGGATGAAGGAGTGGTTTAACGATTAAGTGGAGTTGGAAAGAATTGAATTCGGGTCACAAGAAGTGTCTCCCATGATGTTGGGAGTGCATCAATGGGATAGCATCACTAAATTCAGCTACGATGATCCCAGGGTAGATGTAGTGTACGTTGCCTGTTAACAGATCCAGTATTACCGGGGTGAACGGCATGGACGTAAGAGTGACACTTGACGGTAGAAGTGAATTGCCCAATAAAGTACACTTGTTTGGGTTCACATGTTCACATTAGCCACCCTTCACCCCGAAGTATAAAATATGACGTTAATTATGACGGTAGCCAGCATCCTTACAAAATTATTAAATATTTAAACACAATTGAAAATTAATCGGAGATAAATAAAAAATTAAAAGTTTTCGTTCATATTATTAATATAAAACAAGCTTTTAAATGATTTATGTTTCGTCGCTGCCGGAAACCAACTAGCACTTTTGGACCATGTCCTTTTATGTAAAGTGTTTTCTTGTTGATAAATTGTAGGTAATTACCTACAGAATTGTTATGTATATATATATATATATATACTAGCTGACTCGGCGAACTTCGTACCGCCCAAAAGTAATAATTTGCAATAAATTAAAATTGCGACTATAATTTGAGATTTAAACTATCCTATCTCTCAAGTTGTATCGAACTGCACATGGTGTGCGAATTTTATTATAATCGGTTCAGTGGTTTAGGAGTCCATTGAGGACAAACATTGTGACACGAGATTTATATATATTAAGATATATATATTCCTTGTGTATTCACACACTTCACTCATTAAATAAAACACTGATTCAATGTGTTTAAAATGTGTTTTTAATACTTTTTCACATGAGAAAGGAACAGAAATCCGTTGAAACAGTGTTTTATTTATCTGAATTATTACTGTTTATCTTCTTATATATAAAATTATCTTGTCAAAATGTTAGTTACCATACTCCTCCGAAACGGCCTGATCGATTTATTATGAAAGGAGAATGGGCAAATCCGCCTAGATTGCGCTTGACGCATTTATGTATCAAAAATCTTCTTCTAAATTATCATTTCATATGTGTGTTTATTATGTAAATATTATGCGGATATTTAAAATAATAAATAAATGGCTATTAAACTGAGTCAATAACCAATAACCATAGATAAAAGTTGTATCACTTGGTCGATACTATCGTAGGAAAAAAAATCGATTATATTTCTTTATTTAAATATTCTTAACATAAAAAAACGAGTGTGCTTATGACTACACAACTGAAGTGAAACTTCTTTCATTTACTAGCTGTAACAGAAAAAGAGAAAGAAAATGCGTGCGCGCGCTCTTGCTCCTACACTGTGATACAGACAATAGGCTTGCACTGTGCTTAGATATACGGAACGTATTTGGCTATGAGAGGAAGAGAGAAAGAAAATGTGCACGCGCACTGCTTTCTCATGCTTACATCCCCCACTCAACTCCCGTTCGCCTCGCCCGATCACACTTTTCTTAACGCTTACGTTCGCTAGCTTACTCCCCAAGTCAAGAGTGCGTAAAGAAGTTCCTCTTCAAAAAGAAAAAATAAAACGTTTATTGTAATTGAAAGCATAGAACAATTGTAAATAGCCTGAAACATTTTTACCAAACACCGTAAATGACTACGAAATAATGATCATTCGTTAATTCGTAGTCATTTTTTATTTTGAGGTCTTCGATGCGAGTTGTTTGATTTTTGTATGGATCGATGGATAGATTATTTTCCCCAAATCGCCTATTCAGAGGGCCTGGTTTCGAATTCCGGTGATGTAAATGTTTGTATGATGGATACGAGCATTTTTACCAATATTATATCATGATAAATAACATTAAATTCATAAAGTTATCATTTGTAAGACCTGTGTTGTGACTATCTCACTGTACCTACCAGGGATTGCTCTCTTTCATTGCATCTAAAAACTAAAAGGAACTTAATGGGCTGCGCAAAAGAGGATTTTTTGTCTGCGGACTATTTTGTTCATCAAACAGTAGATCGCATACAAAAACTTTTATATGTGTAGTACATATTCACATCTTAGATTAAAAAAGGGAATATATTTTTGTTTAAATTATCAGTTATGTTATATATAATTACTTAATCATATATAAATTAACTCATGGTTTGAACATTTTAAGCATTTGCATTGAAAAAT